GGGGGGGGGTACACTGTTCAGTGATTTGTAGACATACAGGAGTATTTTGAACTGGATTTGAAAGTGAACTGGTAACCAGTGCAGGGAGGCCAAAACTGGTGTAATGTGCTCTCTTTTGCCTGTACTGGTTAAAAATGGGGCTGCTGCATTCTGTACCAGTTGTAGGCGTGCAATGGAGGGCTAACTGATACCAAACAGGAGCGAATTGCAGTAATCAAGCCTAGATGTAATGAGTGTATGTATTACTGTCTCCAGGTTATTTTTGGACAATATGGGCTTCAGTTTAGACAGCCGCCTCAGTTGGAAGAAGCATGATTTAACAATCATGTTTACATGATTGTTAAGTTTCAAGGAAGGGTCCATTATCACTTCCAGATTAGTGACTCTTTGTTTTTCTGACAGGGTTCGAGCGGAGAGGTCGATACAGTGTTTTGTGATTGTGTCATTGGGAGGGAACAACATGACTTCAGACTTCTTTTCATTGAAACTTAAGAAGTTTAAAGCCATCCAGTCCCTGATGTCAGCCAGGCAGTCGAGCAGCGGTTGAATAGAGCATGTACCATTGTGTCTTAGGGGGAAGTAAATTTGACAGTCATTGGCATAGAAGTGAAAGGGCATGTTGTGTTTCCGGAAAATAGCACCAAGTGGCAGCAGGTATAAAGAGAATAGGAGGGGACCCAGGATGGACCCCTGCGGAACCCCCCATTTAAGTTCTGCCTCTGCGGAACTAAAATCCTTGATGGAGACACAAAAGGATCTGTCAGTGAGGTAGGATCTGAACCAATTGAGGGCTGACCCTGTGACGCCCACCCACTGCTCCAACCTAGCAATGAAGATCTCATGGTCGATGGTGTCAAAGGCGGCTGTGAGGTCCAACAGGACAAGCAGCACAGAATCACCAGTATCTGTGGATCTGAAGATGTCGTTAAAGACCTTCAGCAGGGCAGTTTCAGTGCTGTGGAGAGGTTTAAAGCCAGATTGGAAAAGCTCTAAGATGGTGTGATCCTCCAGGAAGCACTTCAACTGGGACTCGACTATTTTCTCCAGTACTTTAGAAACAAATGGGAGTTTGGAGACAGGCCGGTAGTTGGAAACGACTGAGGGGTCAAGGTTTGTTTTTTTCGGGAGAGGCTGGACGGCAGCATGTTTAAAGGATTTTGGCACCACGCCAGTGGATAAACTACTGTTTACTATAGCAAGAACGGACGGACCTAGAGTTGGAAAAACCTCCTTTAGTAGTCGAGGGGGGACCACATCAAAGGGGGAACCAGAAGGTTTCAAGCTGCACAGGACCTGCTCTAGAGAAGATAAAGTGATGGGTTCAAAATGGTCAAAAGGAGCTACAGATTGAGGTGGGATGGATGGGTCATGAGTTGGAGGGGAAATGAGAGCCTGGGTGGTCACAATTTTTTCCAAAAAGAAATGTAGGAAGTTGTCGCACAGCTCAGTCGAGGCTTCCAGAGGAGATGGTTCAGTGAGGTGGAGAACAGAGTTTAGGGTGGAGAAGAGGACACGTGGGTTGTGAGAGTTTGAGGTAATTATATCAGAGAAGTATTTGGATTTAGCAGCTTTCACTGCTTTCTGATAACAGCGCCAACTCTCTTTAAGTATTTGAAAAGAGACCTGCAGCCTGTCTTTCCTCCACTTTCGTTCCGCCCTTCTACATTGCTGCCTAACGGCCTTGGTGACGTCACTCAGCCAAGGTTCTGCTCTCAGTTTTGATTTTTTGGTTTTAACAGGTGCAACATGATCCAGAGTCTTTAAGAAGACAGAGTTGAACTGGGATGTCAGCTCCTCAGTGGTGGAGAGAAACACTTAGGGCTGAATTATCATTTCAGAGTTATAAACATCTGTGAAACATGTGGCAGTGAAGTGGTTAATGGTCCGGGCGCTACGTGCAAAAATGCACGACTTAGGAGTTAGATGGGGGAGGGTGAACTCAAACTGGACTGGCATGTGGTCTGAAAAAACATTATCACCAATAACAAGATTATTAACAGTCACATCATGAGTTAAAACAAGGTCCAGTGTATGTCCACACTCTTGGGTGGGACCGTTTACATGCTGAGTTAAATTAAATGAGTCCAATAAATCTAAAAAGTCCTTAACCAAGGGCTTCTCAGGACAGCACACGTGCAAATTAAAGTCCCCAATAATGAAAACATGCTCATATTTTGGTGTGATTTCAGCCAAGAAGTCAGAAAACTCATTTATGAAATCCTTAGATCGAGGTGGGCGGTAGACGAGTGCGAATAACGTCGGAGGTGAATGTCCGAGTTCAAAGACGCTCAGCTCAAAGCTGGCGTGGGAAACTGGGATGGGCAGTTGTTTACAGTCAAAAGTTGATTCGAATATTGTTAAAAATCCACCACCGCGCCGGCCTGATGGCCGCGGGGCGTTAAAATACAGACCGTTCTGTGGCAGTAATTCCGTCAAGGCGCTGTTGCCCACGACATGGCTGGGGATTGAGCCTGGGATTTCATGTCCCGAGTCGGCTGCCCTACCTCTACGCCATCTCCGCCCCCATTTACCAAGGCCACCATTAGCCACCCTCTAGCTTTACAATTGCACCTGGTTGTGGATAAAATTGCTCCCTCCACTCGCCAGGATTTGTCACACTTTGCTACTTCTGACTACCAAACAAAAATTAAACTACCTCTGTTTTTAAATACAGTGTAACTCTTACCTACTTGAATCTTACAACAAAATCATTAAAGTTTATTAGGCCCGAGCAGCGAAGTGCTGCAAAGGCCTATTGTAATCACTCTGTTCAGGCCTGAGCTGCAATTTTTTCCACCAAATGAATTGTCGTTTTGGGGACATAACAGATACCAAAAGTCACCAAATTTGGCGGACGCATCAGGACTGGTGAAAAATTACGTATTTTAAGGGCGTGGCAAAAATCGAAACAGAAATGGATCAAGAGAGCCAACTAGAAATTTTCTAAATACCCTCCGCATTAACCTTAGTTTGTTGTAGAAACATGCATTATTGTGTTTAGCATATATTTTAGATCTTTATATAGTGTTTATTTTTACACTTTATATTTCTGATATTGTTGGATGTAACTGGAACCCTGTGCACATAATTTTTTTTTTTTTTTTTTTATCAATCAATCAACCTTTATTTCTACAGGTAAATCCCATTGAGCCTCGAGGACTCATTTACAAGAGAGACCTGATTACTCTAATTAATTTCGTTCCACCTCATGTACTACATGTGGTGAAATGACAATAAACCTACTTGAACTTGAAAATCAACCTGCCTGAAAGCTTTGTTAGTGTTGTGTCTTATGCATTCTGAAGCATGTAACCAGACAATCTTTTTCTTTGTAGGTGGGCATCTTGGATGATGACATCTTCGAGGAGGACGAACATTTTTTTGTACATCTTCAGAATTTGAGGTTAGAAGAGGGAGGAAATGAAGGGACAGGCACCCCACCTAAGGGTAAACTCGTAGAGCCACTGTTTGCCATCATCACCATCTTGGATGACGATCATGCTGGAATCTTCACTTTTAGGCAGCAGGTACTGAGAGTAAGTGAGAGCACCGGCATTCTTACAGTGACTGTACTGAGGAATTCTGGCTCCAGGGGCACAGTTGCTGTGCCTTACCATACAGAGGATGGTAGTGCCAAGGCTGGAGTGGACTATGAGGAGGCCAGAGGGGAGGTGGAATTTACCAATGAACAAACCAGGTGAGGTACAGCTAAAACTAATGACTGCAGATTATTTTGCAGTTTTCTTTTAACACTTTCAATGTTCATTTATCTCTGACTTCTCAATGGTTTAACAAAAGTCCTTAAACCAATTTGGAAATAACCATAAAAATCCAGCATCCATTTATGTCCATTCATTCATTTTCTTGACCTGCTTTTCCAAGTGGATTCACGGTAGAGTTGGTGCCTATCTCCAGCTGTCATTGTGCAAAAGACAGGGTACACTCTAGATATGTCACAAGTCAAATTAAAATAACCAGTCAAACTAAAAACATTATACCAACACTACAGGAACTACAATAATGGGAGCAATAAATACACTAGAGCAGCCAAGTACAAATCATTTGCATAATCTTTTATTTGGTTTAGATTTTTTTTATGTGAAACAACTTACCAAAATCAACTAGCTTTGTGTTATTTGTTTTGTTTTTTATGTTCGGTGTGTCTTTTTGCTCTCAATGGAGAAAACAAAAAAAATCTGTGAACGCTACTAGTGTACCAGTACATGAATTTGTACAAGTACCAAAAAGTCATGGTACAGACCTTGGAGTTACATGAAGAACATGTAAGCTACAGGTTTCTAATCACAAAGAAGGTGCACATTTTTTAAATACTTGTTGCTAACTGCCACAACAGAAAAGAAGTAGAGAAAGATGATAGCTGACTACCATGATTTTAGTGACCATTTAATGACCTTGGTGTAACCTGGTGTCAGTAATCTACCACTAACATGAATAACAATCTCACTGTACTTAAACTTAGCCTTAATCAGCCGAATCAGGTAAGATTCAATATTACCCACTCTGGCCCCCGCAATGCATTGGTCCATTGCTGGAGTTCCTATTACCTTCATGTTTTGGACTATGAAAATTTACCAGATTATATGCCAGATAGATATAGCAGATAATTACCAGAGTCTGCTTCTCAGCAGGTGTGACCCTGAGTAAAGAAAATTATTTTGAATTGCGTATGGGTTGGTGATGAATTGGGAGCGTAGCCTTAGCACTATGCTTCCTCTTAACTGTCACCCATCAGGCATGGGGTCGTGCTCTACTGTTCTACCTTTGGGAAGAGGGCTCCACATCCTCCCCGAAACTGTTCTGTGAATTACTGATGACACACTCCAGGATGTGTTTTTAGACAGAATTACTTGATGACTTGACACCTCAAGATAATAATGTCTCTGATTAGCTGCTGGAAACTCCAGTCACCCTATGAAAACTGACTGGTTCTTTTCCCATTACATTTTCAAGTCATTTTAACTATTTATTTAACTATTTAACTGTTTTAGCTAGCTCATTAATAAATTGTATAGTAAACTGATGGACCGTTGATGAGCGCTTTAATGACAATGACCTCTGCATTCTTAGTTTAGCATATTTCTTAGATCTTAGATCCTTCTTTACAGTTTCTTTTTACAATTGATATCTTTGCTATTGTTGGATGTAACTGGGACCCTGTGTACACAATTTCGTTCCACCTCATGAACCACATGTGATGCGAATGATAATAAAACCTATTTGAACTTGATTAAAGCATTTGTGTTGACAGCAAAACTTTTTTAAAATTAAATATAGTACAAGTTAACTAGTATGTAATTTAACTGTTGTAGAAATAAATCTGTGTGTGTGTGTGCGTGTGTGTGTGTGTGTGTGTGGGTGGGTGTGTGTGGGGCGGGGGGTGCATGAACCTTTCCAGTCAGACATTACAAGTCAGGATTTTAAATATGGAAGAATATGAGAAGCAGGAAAACTTCTTCATCTTGCTTGAAGACCCCAAGTGGCTGAAGCGAGGATTTTCTGGTAAGCCGAAATATCATTATTTCTAAATGTAATACGAAGCAAGAGATTTTTCTCTCTCATTGAAACTGAAAGTGTAGCAGCACCCAAGATCAGCTGATCAATAGCATTTGTACAGCTGCATACACATGTCAGAGTCAGTAATTCAAGATTACAGTCAGCTTTTCACTGCCATATCCGTTTCACTGCAAAGCAGGTGCTGAAGTCATTTATGATTGTAGAAATCCTTGGTGGCTTGTTTAGGTAACCTCATAGAAATCCACTGGATGATGGAGAAACTGCACGTCCATGCTAGTGGAGGACAAGGGACTCTGTTTTACCTGCCAGGATTTCACAGCACTTGCTTTCAGTAAATCTGACTGAAAGTAAAGATAAACAGTTTAGACTAAATAAGACAAACTGTGGAACAAGGCATAAACTATTGTTTTTAATAAAAGTGGGAAGCCAACAAAATGATGTATTGAGTCACTGTCTCTTTTTCTTCCTAGCACTGCTACTTAACCAGGGTAAGTTTGTTTGTGAGTAGATGCTGTGTGTGGTAAATATGCACTTTGTAGCATTTTTTAATGATACTACAATAGTTTTTGTAAAAGTACAACAACCTTATCTATTATTTTTTTAATCAGTCTTTTTCTTGAAATCTTTTTATCATACAACAACAAAAAAGAAGACAAAAAATAGAACAAACCCTACCCTTTCCCTCCCACACCGGATCAGTCACAAACAGACAAACGAATTAACAAGGCATTGACGTTTTCGACGTACAACATAAAAGGCTGCCAAGTGTCCCAAAATCTTTTAACAGAACCCTTCAGAGTATATTGGATTTTTTTATAAATGAATATGGTGCATCACTTTTCTTATCCAATTAACATATGCTGGGGGGTGTGGCTCCTTCCAACTGCACAAGACAAGTCTCCTGGCCAGAAGAGAGCCAAAAGTAATCACATCCTTCTCGTACTTGCTGAAGGACATATCCACGGGGACCACGCCAGTCAGTGAGATGAGCGGTAATGGGTGTACAGTTTTTCCGCATATCACAGAGGTATCAAAAATAGATTGCGTAAAGGTCTGCAGTTTGGGAAAGGTCCAGAATATATGCAAGAGTATAGCTGGAGTTTGTTTACAGCGATTATATGCGGGGTCCAGGTCAACTTTGATCTTGGACAACTTGTCTTTGGACCACTGCAGCTGATGCACTACCTTGAATTGAATTACAGCATGTCTCAGACAGATGGAGGATGAGTAAATGTTCTTAATTATCTTTTGCAAGATTCAGTTTGATATGGGTTCCTCCAAGTCCATTTCCAGTTTCAGTTTACAGGAGTCCAAACTGGTCTCCTGGTATGAACTGAGCAGTGTATAGATCTTGCTGAGGGCCCCCTCAGCTGAAAGCCAAGGATACTGTCTTCAAGTCTGGTGACTCACAGGAACTGAGGAGGGCAAGGGAAGAGCTGGTTGCTGGTATTAAGAAGGCCAAAGCCACATACACACAGAATATCCAAGGACATTTTTCCTCACAGGACCCACAGAGCATGTGGAAGGGCATTAAATGCACCACAGACTATAACAGCAGAAGTGTACAATGCCCTGAGGACCCATCACTGCCAAATAGACCCAAATAGACCACCCAGCTCCAGACTCACCTTACCAACTGAAGAGGAGTCCCTCAGTGTGACCTCAGCAGAAGTAAGGGGGACTTTCAGGAGGATTAATCCTCACAAAGCCACTGGCCCAGATAACATCACGGGGAGGGTGCTGATAGACTGTGCCAATCAGCTCTGTAAGGCTCATATCTTTCTCATCCCTCACCTTGGCAACTGTCCCACCTGCCTCAAGACTGCCATTATCATCCCAGTTCCTAAGAGCTCTGCAGTGATAGGACTGAATGACGATCGGCCAGTAGCCCTCACCCCAATAAGTTGCTAAATGCTTTGAAAGACTGGTCATGACCTACATCAAAGCTACCATTGACATCAGTGAGGATCCTCATCAGTATGCATACTGCAAGAATCAATCAACATAGGACGCCATCTCCTCTGTGGTCCACACTGTTCTCACCCACCTAGAGCAGAAGCGCTCCTACGTCTGTATGCTCTTTGTGGACTTCATCTCTGCCTTCAACACCATGATTCTCCAGACCCTGATGGACAAACTATTCATACTAGGTCTAAGTCCCTCCCTATTCAACTGGGTGCTGGATTTCTTAACCAACAACTACAGTCTGTGAGGATCCACAACTTCTCCTCCTCTACCATAACCTTCAGCACTGGCTCCCTACAGGGATGTGTGTTGAGCCCCCTCCTGTTTACTCTGCTCACATATGACTGTGCAGCTACCCATCCAGGCTGTCATATCGTAAAGTTTGCAGATGATAAAGCGGTGGTTGGGCGCATCACAAACAATGATGAGTCCAGCTACAGGCAGGAGGTGGAACACCTGGAGAGCTTGTGCAGGAAGAACAACCTCCACATCAAAGTATTATGAAGCTGCACTCCTCTAATTATAACCCCTGACCCTTGGGTTATCTCCCAGATTCACCATGAATTGTTTTCTTTTACATTTGACTTCAGTACTGTTTGGTGTTTGTCTCACATTCACTGTCCTTGGACTCAGAGTCAGCTACAGTCTGACTTTACCTTAATTTTTCTTATGCGTTTAAAAAAAAAAGAAGAAGTTTGTTTTATTCTATTAACGTGTGTGATCATGAATAATTATGAATATTGTTTGAAACATACCCCCACAACCCAAAAAGGAAGAAGCGGGTAAAGATAATGGCTGGATGTTTCAATCATTATAATGAAATCATGTGAACTATTATAATGTGTTTAATATTCATTCAACTTTTATTTATACAGGTTAGTCTCTGTGAGCCCCAGGGACTCATTTACAAGAGAGACCTGTTTTGTTTTTTAACAAAGAATGATGACAACAGTAGACAATCATATAAAAGATAGCATGTAAAATGAGAAGAGTAAATGAAAGAAAATGGTATTTTAAAAAAGCAAAACAAAAAACAGCTAGACTGTAAAGCTATGTAGAATACCAGAATACTAAAAACAGGAACATGTCTGCATTGGTTTTTGCCATAAACTTAGCAGCTGTATGAAATCACGTAGAGAGGTCAAGGTGGAGAACTTTAGAAGTTTTTACAAGATATTCCAGGAAACAGGAGCAGAGCACGAGAAGGTCCTTGTGCCTGGTTCAGTGAACACTGAGAGAACACCGCAGGTAATGATGTCCTGAGAACATATTTCTTTCTCCTGTTTTTCAGAAGATAGCTTTGCCTTGAAGATGCACCTGTTGAAAGCTCTTTGAGCTGGAGCTGTTTGCTTCAGAGGGAAGTCATAATGACCCTGAGTAGTTAAAACATGTGAGAGCTGGTGTTATTACACAGTGTCTTTGTGTGACTAAACAGTTCGTCTAGGACTCCTGAACCTGAGTTTGACTTTGGATCCCGATCCTGATGTAGTCCGAGGTCCACTCCTCGTCATTCCTGAGCAGATAAACATTTTGCTTGATTACAGTTTGTTAGAAAAAATTAGAAGTTAAATAAGTACAGAATATTAGGCATTTTTCTCACTACAAGACTCATGTTCTCGGCTTGAAGTCGAAACCAGCTGAAGGTTGCGATGGACGGCACCTTCTCATCAGCAGTTGCCCTCACCAAGCCCTGAAGCTGTCACAGTGACTTTCTGCTGCCTTGGGCAGTTCCTGGCGAGTCCTCCTTATGATGTATCCTGGTCTGACCTTCCTGCAGAACCCCAGAAAGACGAGTGACCTGGTGCCCTCAACACTGAGCAGGTAAGGAGCAGAACCTGGTGACATGATGGTCTGGTGATGTTATTGTACCTGATGCAACTTGATAAATCATTTCCTGGCTTGCAGTGATAATAAATGACTTTATCTGATCAGATTTAATAACTTATTTGAACCAAAATCCAAAGGAAACTATTAAAATGGTCAAACTCTGTCTAAATTTGTGCGCATATAAAAACTAAAAAATTCCTCCTCAAAGGGTTAATTTAGCCTTAAATACAGTAATTAAACTTTGATTAATTAATTACTGTTTGTTTGTTTATTATTGTTGTTGATTCTTAGTTTGATTATTTTTGTTTTAAAACGTCATAGACAACTTTTGTCTCTTCATTCAGATGAATATTCATGTGTTCTGGTCTAGAACTCCCTGTAATGAACTCATTCTACTTCAGTGACTGATTGTGATCATTAAAGGATGAACGTATTAATGAAGTTGTTGTTGGTCAGTAAACTGACCAGCTGGTGTCACACTTTAACAAGTACTAAATGAGTAAACACGAATGTAGTGGAGGAAGTGTCACCATTCTTCCTCCATCTCACTTAATAAATGCTACATCACTGTGAAGAAGACGAAGGAGTAGTGCTGGGCCATATCATGTGGTTCACGATAACACCGGTAAAAAAACGTGCCCGGGAAAATAAATGATATCGTGATGCTAATTTCATGGCCTAATTACGTCATCCCACCACGCAGCGGATTACGCTCACGTGGGTCATGCAGCGATATTCAAGCTTTAAAGGTGAAGGCATGAATGGAGACACCTGAGCTGCACACTGGTTTTTTTTGGGGGGGGGGGGAGGGACACAGCTGAGCTGAGAGCAGTACCAACAGGTTTCAAGTTGGTCAGCGTGAGGGTTCAGCATGAGGGAAGACGTTGCCTTTAGCTTTTTAACTAGTTCACTGATCACTGATAACTTGGAGCTACGTCAGGGCCGACGGGTGGGGGTGCGCTCAGTTCTGTTGACGTGGCGGGCCACCCCACTTGTCTAATGGTAGGAGAAACACTGACTATGCATTAGCCACCGGTTTATGGTCAAGTCGGAGCCTTACCTGAGTTTGACTGTGCACTAAAGTTTAACTGTGCACTAACAGAGACTGGGAACTGCTCAAACCTGGAGACCAGTTGCTTTCCTGAGGATCAGGACACTGCTGCTGGCTGGTCTGATCAGCAGTCCTTTCAGGCATTTCAGTTGTTTTCAGCATTTGTCACAAGTTTTGGAAGTTACAGCTCATTTACCTCATGACATTGACCTTTTCTCTCTAGCCTCGCTAGAGAAACAAAAGGTGACTAATCTGGGGGTGATAATGGACCCGTCCTTAAAACTCAACAGTCACGTAAACATGATGGTCAAATCCTGTTTTTTTCAGCTGAGACGGCTGTCTAAGCTGAAGCCTATACTCTCCAAAAAGAACCTCGAGACAGTGATCCACGCCTTCATAACATCTAGGCTTGATTACTGCAATTCACTTCTGTTTGGAATCAGTCAGTCCTCCATTGCTCGTCTACAACTGGTCCAAAATGCTGCAGCCCGATTTTTAACTGGTACAGGCTATAGAGAGCACATCACGCCAGTTTTGGCCTCCCTGCACTGGCTACCCATTCACCTTCGGATCCAATTCAAAATTCTCATGTATGTTTTTAAATCACTGAACAGTTCCGCCCCATCCTATCTCACTGATCTTCTGCAGCCATATGTCCCACCACGCTCTCTGAGGTCAGCAGACCAGATGCTTCTCTCAGTCCCAGAAACCCGTCGTAAGCTCAGAGGTGACAGGGCTTTCTCTGTTGCAGGTCCACGACTGTGGAATGAGTTGCCACTGAGTGTCCGGCAGGCTCCCACACTCTCAGTCTTTAAGTCTCGCTTGAAGACCCACTTCTATTCGCTTGCCTTTAACACGGTGTGATTTGTTTTGGTCCGGTCTGTTCTCTACTCTGTTGGCCATTTTAGTTAGCTTCTGCTGCTATTTGTATCTGTATTTCTATTTTATGTTTTCCTGTCTGCTGTGCATGTTTGTTTCTTTTGTACAGCACTTTGGTTGGCCTTGTTGCTGTTTTAAGTGCTATATAAATAAATTGGTATGGTATGGTATGGTATTTAAAGGCAACATATTTTCTCTTGTACGTTACATTTATCAATCAATCAACCTTTATTTCTACAGGTAAATCCCATTGAGCCTCAAGGACTCATTTACAAGAGAGACATGATTTAACAAAGAAAGATGACGACAATGGACAACAGCAACAACAATAAACAGTTATAAAAAGTCATACTGCAGGGTTTTTTTTTTTTTTTAACAAATAGGAAGGCTAAAAGGGAAAGGTAACAAAACAAAACAAAACAAAAAAAAAAAAAAAAAACAGCTAGATTTCAAGACAATTGTAGAAAACTAAAAACAGGAACATGTCAGCATTGGACCCTGCCAGGAGTCCAACATCCAATTTATGCTCAACAGATCTTCAGCTTCATTTTATTTAGTTCTTTTGGGGACTTCACCTGCACTTTAGTTTTTGTGGTGGATTTTGTTCTATGTTTTGTGCAGACTTTTTCATCTAAATAACAGAAGGATCTTTTGTTTTTATTTATTTTTATACTTTAAGACTGAATACTTTACTAAATAAAGTAATTTCAGTCAAATTAACCCTAGTTTTTTTTTAGTTTTAATATAATACTGCAAAGCAACATGTTCAGTTAATTTTATCAAATAACTATGATTTCAGGTTTTTATTTTATTTTATTTTTTTTTGTTATATCACAAAATTTGACTTGACTCTCTTTGACATGACTGTCGATGAGGGAGAGGGCCGGCACCGGAGGAGGGGGCGTGACAAATACACCATCTTAGCACCAACATAACTGGTTTGTTCCACTTTGGAGTAAGCTGTTGGGGGAAGAATCAGTTTTGTTGTGTGTTTCCTTGACTGATGAAGCCTTCTGGATGGAAGGTGAAACGTTTCAGAACAAAAAAAGAAACTGTCCAGATGACCTGACTGAAAAATTTTGGATTTTATACCTGGATTATTGAGCATGGACTTTGTTTTTAAACTGTGTTTCTTTTTCAGAAACAGATCCTGTCTAACTCTGAATGTTAGGAAACACCTTGTATCTGTGACTTTCCTTCCCTCCATCGATCACGGTGACATTATTTACATGAACGCTCCTACAAGAACCCTGCAGATGTTGGATGCTGCAGATGTTGGATGCTGCAGATGTTGGATGCTGTCTATCATGGTGCACTAAGATTCATAACTGGCTGTAACTATTGTACCCACCACTGCACCCAGTATTCACTGGTTAACTGGTCACCATTAGCTTCACACAGACTCTCTCACTGGTACATTTTCATCTTTAAATCACTTCCTGGTCTGCTGCCTTC